TTGTTTTCACACATTCATGTAATTTCACAGAATTTTTTAACTGCCACCACTAGTGAGCTGAAATCCACTGCTACACTGACACATTTGAGATGATCAGGTGAAATTATGTGTAAAATATTATTTCTGGTATCTGTCCATCTTCTATTGATGTACCATTGTTGTTACCTGGTGAACTATAAAAGACAAAGCATGTTTTGCTAGCAGTAGGAGATTCGTGGATCACCTTCTTCAAACCTTTTGTTCCATAGTGGGAATCGGGACCCTGAAACATATCAGAAGACATCAGCAAGGGAGTGGAAGTGGGCAGCAAGACCCAGAAAATGTTGAAGTTCAAACACTACTGACTTAGGTTAATCTAACAGTATAAAATTTCTGTACCCACATCACATAAGTTATACACCAAATCACAGACAACAGAAGCAAGTGCCCTATGACTGAATAACAAAAAAAAAGTTTCTCTGACAGTAGATTTAAACCACTTTATTTTATCCAACTAGTAATGAGTAAATATTTTCTAGTATTTCTCCTTGTCACACAGGTTGTCTATATTCTCACTTAATTCCCTGCCTCAGATTCTTTTAATGTGCAACATTTTTTTTCAACCCACTCAACTCTTATTTCTGTATGAGAATTATATTTAGAAGAGTATTAAAAGATTGAGAAAACACTGAATAAATAAATAAATTTGTCCATAACATTAAGGGCAGACTTTCCTAGAGCAAGTAATTCCTTCCTGCATTTCAGCACTAGTATATAAAAAGTGATTTAAAAAAAAAAACAAAAACCAAACTGTTTTTTGACTCTAGCTAGTGGTTAGAATATCCTTGATAAAAGAAATCAAACTTAAATTTGATAGATTAAATATTCTAGATAACGCCCACACAGAACCAGTGACTTCCATTAGGACTCAGTCTCTTACATCAAGCCAGAAAGTGGGAAAGCACAAAGGATCCAGTTATGCACTCTGTGCTGTGGCACAGAGGAGAGCTAGCAGTCTTAAAAGTTACTGTGGAGTTTAATTACGGTCTCCTTTAGCACTAAACTTAAAATACATTCAAGACCTAGAAAACACTTTCCCATTAGAAGACAGATAAAGGAACAACTCTTGCATCAAAATAACATTTTCTTCTGTACTGTTAGGCATTCTTACTTTCAACGTTGCGCAAGCTGTGTAGCAAACTGTTGGCAATATCTCTATAGGTTCTTTGAACATAACTCTGAATGTACTGGCCGTTCCATCACAACTAAATCCAGTATCGTTCTGTCCTAGTGTTTGATTCTTCTCATAATCAATTATCTGTACAAAACAAGGAAAACAGTAGTTTTTAGGTTTACAAGCTCGATTCTTATTGTATGCATATTAGAAGATTACAAGCAAACACTTGCCTACTCCACCCAGTTTAATTGTAAGAATAGTGCAATCTCCGAACTGGAAAGTAGGTGTAATTTCCTGATACCAGTAGGGCTGACCCAGCAGCACGCCCAACAGTGGCTTGCGAGTTCTATACAGGCTGTGCTGTCTGTGGGCTGACTCAACACTGCTCCAACCAGGTCATAGTTTTTGCTTGGGAGATGAAGAATAGCTCTTAGACCTTCAACTTCTGACCTTCACACGCTACATACAATCCTGTATACACCTGCAGAGCCCCCATGAGGGAAGCACATTCGCTGGCTGTGGCTCATTTAGAAAACAAGCTTTTACAGATAAGGTAAGCAGTCCATCATACATTCTTAAAACAGGAACTTGCACTGCTGTTTTCTACAACTTATTTATATTCTAGATTCAGTATAAAAATTACATTCAGACTACATATTACTTCGTTTGCCTTCAATTTTAGTGGCTAATAGGAATCACTAAGATGTAGTAATAGCAGCCAATTCACTTCTCATTTTGGACAGCAGTCCTGATCCACGCTGTCAAACACCTCTTGCAGAAGTTGGGTATCAGAGCTTTAGAGTAACAAAAACACATCTCAAGATTACTGCACTAACACAAATCCTAAAATAATATTTTATTATTAAATTGCCACATAATTTGTAATATTGCACAAATGAGATTAAGCTCTATTCTAGGCAAAATGGGCTCTACTTTTTGTTTTCCAGCCACAATCAACAGAAATATTAATTATAATGCTGAAGTCATAAGCCCCTTCAACATAAAAAATGTATTTGCTATATACATTATCACTATTTTAAGACAAGTATTAAATGTTTAACTCTGTGAAGCTCTGCTAGTACTGATGCAGCTCCAAGAAGAAAGGCAGACACACAGGACTTAAAACACCTGCCTGAAAAGATTGTGACAAGAGAGTTTCAGATTCATCAGGAATTAGGGATACTTCCAGAATAAAGAGAACACGTATAAGATGGATGGCCACCATCTGAACCATAAAGGTACATTAGCCTTTCAGTTTGGATCAGGAGCATGTTTTCCAAGTGAATCTCTGTGATTATTCCCACTTAATATGCTTTGGTTTGCCTTGCAAGAATTAAATTATTTTCAGATTAAATAAATCCAGGAAATGTGCTGAGGGATCACACCAAATGCTCATGTGCTCACAGGAATTTAGCCAAGATGATCAAACAAGAGTTAATGCAAAGTAAAAAGCCCCAGATACGTATAGCACAGCTGCTAGGTCCTCAGTACCAATTCTTTTGTTCTAGAGAGTCAACCTAGTGCACTAATGCTCTTCATTTACATAGACTTATAGTGTGAGAAAAACACACCGATAGCACTTCAAACTAAAGAATTTGCAAGTGAGCTTTTAAACTGAGGAATGTGGAAAAGACAACAAATTCCTTCAAAACCTCATTCCAGATACATTCTCTTTGGAACATCATAAGAGGAAAGGCACAACATTTCTTCTGAAGAGACAGACACAAAATTCCTATCTTAAGCAGAGGATGGCCAGAGAATGGTAATCATCAAATAGGAAACAGAAGACAAATAAACTGTCATTTAAATAGGATGCCCAGAAATGAACCAAACCAGCAGTTCCAGCTCATGCTAGAAGTCTATGAAATAAATAGAGAAATTGAATTTCTGTCCATAAAGGAAGACACAGATTCTTTCTTTCACAAATTTTCCCACACACCTAATAAATCAATGTGATGCGATATCACCAGGTTATAAAATACACAGCAGAGCAAAACTGTGCCCATCATGGAATGCTAATACCTTGTTAGAAAGCTTAGAATCAAATTAAAACTAATCTCAGTAAGAAAGAGAATTCAAATGGACTGAAATTCCATACCTAAAAAGGAAAAAATGCAGTGCTGGATCAGTATTACTAGAAGACAATCCTGATCACAACATCCTAAGAGAGACCAAACAGGCTACAAGAGCAGGAAATACCGTTTTAGTGGTGTCTTCAATTACCCGCTCAGACCGGGCAAGTGTCATATCAGGACATGAGGCAGGAGTGACATTTTTAGATGCTATCACTGACCATTTCAAGAGCTTGCTAACCAATTGCTCAGTAGGAAGAAACGCAACCCTTGATTTGGTACTGAGTGATGAGCAGGATCAGATTCAAAACTTCATAATGGAAATACTAGGTAACAGTGTCCATAATAGAGTCAACAGTCCCACATGAGCAACAAAAGTAAATCTACCACAGCTGTGATAAATTTCAAAAAGAGAAAAATGAAGAAGCTTGTTCAAAATAAGCTAAAAGGAGCAATTAAGAAAATCAAATCCTCATAAGCAGCATGCAGACTACTAGGAACATGGCTTAGTGGTGGACTTGGCAGTGTTACTTTTACAGTTGACTCGATGATCTTAAAGGTCTTTTCCAACCAAAATGATTCTATGATTCTACTGAAGGACATCATGTGCCCAAGTACAGTGTCGGTACATATCAACTATTAGGAAAGGCTTGAGAAAAGGGGGGAAAAGTTGGCAAGGCTGATCAACAAAAGGCTATTATTGGAAACAAACTAACAAAAAAAGGGCATCCTATAGAAATATGAAGTTGTATCCAGATTAAAATAGAAAGGTTAAAACTGACAGATTAAAATGTAAAAAATACAATTAAGCAGGCCAAAAGGAGGTTTAGGAACAGCTATCTGAAAGCAACAAAACCACTGTTAAATCATTCTTTCAATGCAGCAGTAGCAAAAATATTCTAATATTCTGGGGTTTAGTGAATAACACAGTTCTGCATTCACCTTACACACTACCCTTGTGATTTCAGAAGCATTGCTCACACCTCCCCATAGCCTTCTCCCCTACAAATTGAAGAGTCATAGCCTTTTTGGTCTCCCTTCATAAAGCAGCAGCTCTACCCCCTTAATCATTTTAATTACTCTTTTCTCTACCTTCTAATTCTGCTCTGTGAGACTGGGAACTGCACATGATACTCAAGACGTGGGCATACCTGGCTTTCACACAGCAACACAATGTCACCTTTTATCTTGTTTCCAGTATCTTCCTGATGACACAGTGGGCTTTTTTAGCAGTCACTACATGTTATGTCACTGATTTCAGAGAGCAGTTGATGACAAATCCAAGATCTCTTTCCTGAATTACTAGAAACTTTATTAAAGGACAGACTTTGTGCACAACTGAACAGATTACAGAGCTATGAAATTCCTCTGCAGAATGCTTACAGAAATTCCAGGTTAGACCAGACAAGTATCCTGAAGAAAGATTCACCAGGAGCTATTAAACAGAGAAACCAAATCGGTCTCGGGAAACGCCTATAATGAAAATGATGGAAGGACACGAGAATACAGCAGAAAGGGAGAAGAGTTTCATATTGTTCTTACTTTTCCCTAGTGCTCTGCTTATGACCGCTGTTGGGGATAAAACACCACATTAGATTCCTGGCCTATCAATTGCTCCTGTGCAAATATACACCAAACCTTTCACAAGTACTGGAAGTGTCATTTCTGCATAAGCCTATTTAAACAGAATGTACTGTACCTGTATATTAACTTGATAGTCTGTGGGTCCATGAATAGATCCATATAATCCAAATCCCACTATGGAAATTCTTCTATTAACTGTGAACCTAGTGACACACAAGCCAAGAAAGGAATTTAAACAACTGTGACGATGTGTGACCTTATTCCCCATCAAGTAGGAAAAGACTTCCACTGAAGAGTAGAGAAGTGAACCAAAAATTACTTTTTTTTTTTCCAATAACACTTTCTATTTACATTTCAATAGTAAGAAAAATGCTTTTTAAGGTATCAGCTTTATGTTAAAGCTTTGCTAATCCTCCACAACATTCACTATCACTAAAAAAATAACCAGATTCTTTTGAGTATCTCCAAAATAAAAACAGATCAAGACTTGGTATTTTAAAAAGGAATATGCAGCTAACACCCAATCACTCTAGAATGCATCCAACCCCCTGAACTTTGTTCTTTGCTACTTTATATTTTATGTGCACAACAGCCTAAGTTATATTAAAATAAGGAAAAGATCAAACGTGCCCAAACAGAACCAGCATGTTTGTTATTGTATCTTACGTCAAAAAGTCAAAGTTGAGTAATATGTTTCCATTCTTCCCACCCTTCTCCATCTCTCCTCCAAATAATTTCAAAAGCCATACCTAATCCGATCACTCGTTCCACTGTAGCCCCAGCGACTCTCCACTTGCTGGAACCTGTTAATGCTGCATTCTTTTCCTCTAAGGCAACATCTTGGTCGGTCAATATAATCCACTTTAGGTTTAGGATTGACAGTAAAATGCAGAAAAAGATTCACTACTTCCCGATCTGACAAGATTCCAGACTGAGCAGGGCCTGTGAAAAGAGAAAGCTTCTAAGATTATTTGAAGAATTACTCCAGCTGTTGTATTTAAACCACATATATTCCCACACTGAAGATGATAATACTATTTTCCAATGGCCAGAGCATATTCTCTAGAGTTTTGCTTTCATTTGTGCATCACAACTTTTATTAGTACAAAGTTAACAACAGAATAGAATGTTAAGCATCTAAACACTCACAGGTGAACAGTGCAGAGATGTGGTCTAACAGCAAGACAAAGAACCCCAAAACTCACCTGCTGCAAACTCTTCAATAGTCATTAATGGAAAACGGATTAAAGAAAGAGCTCTTCCAAGGACTTTCTGTTTGTTTCCAAATGTCACAGGCAGTTGTTGTCTTTGACATTCTGCTTCTGCCCAGCGAACAACAGCTCCAAAGAGTCTACTTTCTCGAATACTAAGGGTATCTCTTTCTAGAACTGCACATAATGTGTCTAAAGAAAAAAAAGTTAACAGATTTAGATCATTTTCATCCAAACCAGTACCAGTGCTACACATTTCATGCTAAGGACACATTAAGTAACCTACCTATATCAATATCAGTAAAGCCTTCTGCACTTATTGCATCCATAGTACTTTTGTCTATTGTGTCAAGACAAAGACTAGCAAGCTGAGGTTCATCAAACAAACGAGCCTAAAAAGGTAAAGAAATACATCTTAAGCATAAAGTTGACAAACCACTAATCTTAAAAAGTATTTTTACTCTAGTACAGATCTGAACTAAAACTGGTTAATTTGTCTAAGTACTCTTTGTGTTTATGCCTTAAAGAGCACTTAAATTCTCAAAGGAGTACATAATTAAGGAGAATTCACTACATGCAGGTTTTCCTTTATGCTTATGTTAGTATTTTTGGTGATATAGCTAAAAAAAAGTACACATCAAATCCATCATACTGAACTAAAGCACAGCCTTAAGAAAAAACAATTGAAAGATTCATGCAAATACACTGTAAAATAAACTGGATCCATTTGAAATGTCCCAGTCCATTGCATACTAAAAAAAAAAAAGCGAAAAAAACCCCAAAACTTCCCTCCACATTAATAAGAATAAAAATGCTAACAGAGCAACAAGACATTTTCATACATAAATTAAGACTACATGATAGCAAACCCACTGTGAATTAATATTTAGTAATTTCCCTCCAAATACTGATTTTCATAGTAAATCAAAACTAAGCTTAAATTTACCTACTTGAGTAAGCAGCATAAAGGCATTATCTGCTCGGAGGTGCTTCGTTAGAAAATCCACACAATGTGCTTCCAGAGCTGGGACTGCATACTTTTTAGCAGTGTATAAAGTAGTCATGACTGTTTCAGGACCAATTTGAACTTCATCTGAATAAAGAAACCTAGAAATCAACACACAAATACAGATCATAAAAACATATGGGGGGGGCAGTCAAGCACAACATACAGTCTCTTTGCACTTAGAAAACAGGTTGAAGATTTGCACTGTGAAAATGCAACAGTTGACCATATAGCATTTTTGCAAATTAATAAGCTAGTTAAAGGGTTGAAGAAGGAGTATTACGTTAACCTAATGGCATACATTTGTTTTAAATATGTATTCCTCCCTAAGACTGATCTGGCTGTACTAGTTATACATAGCTACCAAACTGTAAACAACAGCTGAGCTGCAGAATTACTTAACATATGAAAGCATGCTCTTTGATTCACTAGGAAGAGCTGTATTTCTAAGTATCAATACATAACCCTCCAATGCTGAACTTAATTTACTGACAGTGCATGCTAACTTCCCCATCATGAGGGGAACAGCGTCAAGGAGTTACACTGGGCTAACATCTTCTGTCAAAGTTACCATTCTGTAGTGTTTGGAGGAGAGGGAGTAATATTCTAGCAGATGACCTTCCATTCCTGCCATAGCACAACACTGGCTTGTCTCCACTGTTTGAGGCTAGATGACTGGTCGAGATTTTAGCATAAGCTGTGACCCAAAAGATAGACGCCTCCACCAAAACCTGGGAAAAAACCCCTGTTTCCTGAGCAGCTGTTATTCGAGACCAGACAAGATAAGATTTATTTTAAGGTTCTGCATGGAAAAGATTACTTTTTAAAAATAACTTTTCTTACAGGTGACATTGAAGACAATCTTAGCAACAGTTCATCAGTTTTTCAGATAACAGTCAAGAACAGCCTGTGATTGACAAAAATACATTTGTCCCCAACACACAAGTGATTAAACACAATAAACCAGGGCACATTAGCAAATGCAGGAATTCCACAATGAAGACCAAGCCTTTCCTTTATATTTATTAACGTTTTTTGTTCAGAACCTCCTGGAAATGAATGGCAAACAACACGTAGTGATGGAAAGCATGTTTAGAAGGGTTTTTAAACATAACAATAAGCAGTTTGTATGCAACTAAAGAAATTTGTGAAAGTAACAGACTCAAAACTTGTTTGCAGCATAGGGAGATCTAAGTAATAGAAACCTAGAAATAAAGTTCTTCACTTTTTATATATATTTTATATTCCAAGAAAACACTAATTCTTGGCAATTGCTAACACAAACTAAATATGGCCTTCAACATTAAATTCTCTGCCCCTTACCAACAGGTCCATATTTACCATTACAATACTCCAACCTATTCAAACAGCCAGCTCTCACATCACTTAGGAAATGTGAATGATGTTCTAGATTAATTCTTTAAACTGGTTTTACATCAAACAGCTTTTAGAAAGAATGAGTTTAATTAAATCCTAACTTTTTTTTTCGTAAAAGTTTCATACAGTTCATTTAGAACTGATTTATGAAAGATATAAACTATTACCTGTTGATGAAAATGATGGGCTGACTTGCCAGTCACAATCACTGACAAATTTACTTTTAAGAAACTAAGATCTCATAGGTACAGTTTTGTATAATAAATTGGCAAGTAATTCATTAAAGCACGAGAACTGTGCTCTTAGATTCTGGGTTTAAGATTTTTAAAAATCTGTTTAAAATGCCCTAGTTTTCCTTGTATGCCTTTATAGGAGTTTGGGGTCCAAATCACATAAGAGTTCAAAATCAACAGATTGCAAAAAAGCAGCATCACCACACAAACTACATTATAAATTATACCTAATCCTAAAACAAAGAAATAAATAAATCATCAAGCTGGTTTTGGAACATGATTTTTCTTTTATTCCTTAAGTGTGTCCAATCTAAAACCAATGAATTAACACACCAGAGGAGCTTATCTGGCTTGTGGTTCACTTTCTGCTACACCTTTTAAAGAATCAGGGTGCAGTTCCAAACTGCACTTTTCTGACCCTTGCTTTCCCAGGAATTTTACAGGCTTTTTCCTCATGTGACCAAAACCCAATTACATGGCCAAATGACAGGAATACAAATGTGATGACAACGCATATACATGCAGGTTTTTCATTCATGTGAGATCTATGAGCTACAGGATGCTTTATCATCCCATGAAGGACATACTTGAGGCTCTGTGCTCTAATCCCACCCCTGCCGTGTGGCTGGACGTACATTAAGAGACACTCCCCAGCTGAAAGCCTGTCAATGACAAACTAGCAGGACTTAAGTGATTAGTAAGTTCTGACAACTAAAATCTGCACAGCACCTCAAGCAGTAACTAAAACATCAGTGTGCTACCAACACTATTTTCATCACAAATCCAAAACACTGCTCCATACACGCTACTGTGAAGAATTTAACTCTATCCCAGCCAAACCCAGTACAATCTCCACCCCTTATTGCATACCATTTACGTCATGCTCAGGTCCCACACTTATGCAACACATCCTTGTTAACCACCCCTGTAAAATATCTGTAAAATCACAGAATCATAGGGGTTGGAAGGGACCTCAGGAGATCATCCAGCCCACCCCCCCTGCCAAAGCAGGTTCCCTATACCAGGTTGCACAGGAAAGTGTCCAGGCAGGTTTTGAACATCTCCAGAGATGGAGACTCCACAAACCCTATGGGCAGCCTGTCCCAGTGGGCTGTCACCCTCACAGTAAAGAAAATTTTCCTTAAGTTTGTCTGGAACTTCTGGTGTTCCAGTTTTTGCCCATTGCCCCTTGTCCTGTCACCAGCCACCACCGAAAAGAGCCTGGCCCCATCCATTTGGCCCCCACATTTCAGATATTTATAGACACTGATAAGGTCCCATCTCAGTCTTCTCTTCTCGAGGATGAAGAGTCCCAGCTCTCTCAGCCTCTCCTCATAAGGCAGATGCTCCAGGCTCCTCATCATCTTTGTGGCCTCTGCTGGACTCTCTTCAGAAGATCCTTGTCCCTCTTGAACTGGGGAGCCCAGAACTAGACACAGTATTCCAGATGTGGCCTCACCAGGGCGGGGGAGGAGAACCTCCCTCGCCCTGCTGGCCCCGCTCTTTTTAATGCACCCCAGGATACTGTTGGCCTTCCTGGCCACAGGGGAACACAGTTGGCTCATGGCCAGCATGTACATAAATATCCATAAAGTGTTCATTGAGTTCATTTGCCCTGCAGCTTTCAGCTTCACCTGTTGTGGCACTCAGTCAGGACAGGAGAGGTGGCGTGTTGCATGGAGTTAACTGGGCACTGTTGACCTCATTATCTGTTTCTAGATGTTGATTACCACAGGGTGAATAAAAACTCATAGTTACAGAATATGTGATATAGTTACATACTTTGAAACTGAGAAAATTCATTACATAAATCATAGAATCATAGAATGGTTGGGATTGGAAGGGACCTTAAAGATCATCTAGTTCCAACCCTCCTGCCATCAGCAGGGACACCTTCCACTAGACCAGGTTGCTCAAAGCCTCATCCAACCTGGCCTTCAACACTTTCAGGGAGGAGCAGCCACAGCTTCTCTGGGCAACCTGTTCCAGTGTCTGACCACCCTCACAGTGAAGAACTTCTTCCTAATATCTAATCTAAACCTCCCCTCTTCCAGTTTAAACCCATTTCCCCTTGTTCTGTCATTAACTGCCCTTATGAAAAGTCCTTCCCCAGCTTTCTTGTAGCCCCTTCAGGTATTGGAAGGCCACTGTAAGATCTCCCCGGAGATCTTATAGCATATGCATAGATAAAGCATCTAAATATATTAGAGAAGTCACATTGTCAGGTTTGCGTTTTGTGTTCAATTGTTCAAGTTTCTGACAATGCCAATACTTTTCTGGGATTTTCAAAGCCAAGCAGGAGCCTCTTGCAAATACTAAAAAGTGTGAATTTGCAAAATTAGAAGGTAGCTGTAAGAGCTATGAAAAATGGTAATAAAGTACACTGCTCTAGGATGTTGTATAGTCCTATTTCCCTTAAGTACATGGATGGATGATCACGATGCATTCATCTACTCATAAAAGAATTCTAGGTGTGTCTTCTCTCCAAAAATCCCTTTGCTCATGTGCCAAGAGCTCTGCCTCTGTGTTAACTCTCCCACTTGTGGCACGCCTGAACTAGCACACCTTTATGTTTATACCACTGTTCCTCCCTTAGTTATCTCAGTGGGGCTCAAGATCATTTATCCTTCCCGCTTGTCTTCTCCCCTCCCTCTCCTTCCTTCAAGAGACTTATAGAAACAACCTGCTCTTTAGATACTGACTGATTTTTTTGCATCCAGGATGGTGTGTGTGTATATGCAAAATGGAAGAACACTTTTAGTGACCAGAACTATTTTTCCAAGTGACCACTCAATCATTTGCTTTACATGAGCCTCTCGTACATTTTAGGCCACTTTTCTTTACTCTCAGGTTGGCACTTCTTTCTCCTCTAGTCTTAGTATCTTCCCAACAGCTGAAATATTTTCACTATTATAAAAGCACACTCATCTTTTTCCAGTTAGTCATGATTACCCCTTTATTTATTGCTTGCCAAAGTCCTCTGCAAAGCCATTTGGAAGATGGACTGCTAAATTTGTGCTGTGCTGTCACTTTCCTTTATACTATGATGAAAGTACAAGTTAAATTATTGTAAAATATTAATGAAATTTAAAATTAAAAAAATCTTATAAAATGAAACCCTAAAGCAAAATGCTACTGAGACAACTGTAATGTTCTTGATCCCTGCTATTCAACATGTAGTGTCAGAAACATATTAAAAAAAGCTGTTCAATTGGGAAGCTGATTCAAACTTTGTGACTTCAATATTATTTCAGCTCTTAAGGATTTATCTGTCAAATTAGTGAAACAGCTGCTTTTAAAAAACTCCTCTGGCTCATGTTTGAAAACTAATCAGGCAAGAGGAATACTGGATGATAAGCCAAAACACACACAACAATCACTTCTAAGCCTTTTAGCTCAGACAATTGTTTTCTAAGAAAGTTCTCTCCTCTTCCCCAGCCAATTTTAAAAGGCTCCCCTTTTCCCACCTTTACAGATAAGATTTTAG